TGCCCGGGCAGTGCCTACCCCCGCTCCCTCCCTCAGCATGGGAGGCGTTAATCTGCCCCCCATGCCCCTTTCCACCCCCTCCCCTTCCACCACACGGGACTGACCAGTTGGAGGCATCTCTCCACACTGCCAGCTGTGCTCCTTGGTGCCTGAGTGCTGCGCTGTAGCTGCGCACAGCACGAGCATTTATCAGCCAAATTATTAACCCCATTGTGCCGATATCAGATACAGCAAATTTTCTTTATATTGGTACCAATCCGATATTGGACAGATGTATCAGTGCACCCCTAGTAAATAAAAGAAAAAAAGTATTATTAAGTAGGCAAGGGGTTTGGTGAAGCAACAGGTGAACAACAAATGGAGATAGGGTGTCCATCAAACCAATCAACCAAAAAAAACTCACAGCTCAAGTGCCAAGGACATAACTTGCTTTGCAGTGGAGCTGCAAACTGTGCTACCATTTGTTACAAAAACAAATTTAGACTATTGGCATGATAATGAAACATACTGACATATTGGTAGTTTTAACATGACAAGCCTCATAGCTTCAGCAAAAAGAATAAAATAGTATAAAAACAGGTGCAATTTTGGAAGGGGACCTCTAGTTTGAAGTGCACCCTTATACTCTTTTGGAGCCCACTCTTATGCTTACAGGAACTGCTGAATTAACAACACTTTGTTAAGGGGACATACTGCTTCTTTTGTCTTACTATAACCATATAGAAATGTTGGGACATCATGGTAGAGTGGTTAAGGCATCTTACTATGATTCCAGGGGCACAAATTCAAGGTATATCCATTCAGGCTGTGGGACCTGATGTGATATTGGCCAGCCATATCGCTCTCATTTGCGCTGTAGGATTCAGGAACTGGTGTGCCTTAATCACATCAGCCCAATGGCCTATTGATTTTATACATAAGTTCTAACCTGGCATTAGAAGTTATTCAATACAGATCTTCTGAGAGGTGTTTATGTGGCAACAGTGCTCTTTTTAAGTCTTTTGGCATCCTCAAGATAAGTTTTTATTTGGGCATTACTTGGGCCTAATCCAGTAAGATAAAAGTATAGTAAACAAAGAATTAAAAAGTAAGAAGCAGGAGAAAATATAAAAAAATTGGCAACTCATGCAAGATCATGACTATGATCATGAAAATACATGTTCATGTCTTATGCGCTCATTCCTTCAAAATACCTATATTTGCCTGAATAAAAACCCTGTCCCATTTTTTTCAAGAAAAGATTCCAGCAAAGTTTGACTTAGTAAACATGTTGCAAATAAATGTATTCTGGAGATTCATATGTGAATAAAAAGCAAAACAAATCAGAATTTGCTAAGGTCTGGTAGGCTGGGCTCATCCTTTCTGCTGTATGTCTCTTTTTATGATATAAAGATAGATTTGGAAAAACTCTTATCTGCCTACAGAGCATAGAAAGAACATGCAAAATGTTGGGTCAGGTCTTTCCATGTTCTGGTTCCTGTCTCTATTTGGTAATTAAGCCTGAGCATAAACACTGTCTGGATGATAAAAAGACTAAAAACACAGTGTGGGAAGTCCTTATCAGCCTACCTTTTATTGCTTTAATTAGAATTATTGCAAAGCTCAACTTCTTCCTAGTATATTCCATAGCCCATCTTGGAGTTTTCGTAATAGAGTATTTTACAGTTTTAGATCAAGGTGAAGAGCTGTGAGCATGATATTGCCCAGTGACAGCCTCTGGGATACATTACAAGCAGCCAGCTAAATAAACATCTAGAATACTGTGTTGATTTCATTTATAAGGCTCTCTCTTTACTGATTACTGGTGTTTAATAGTTTTCTCTGTTAATAACATACAAATGAAGAACTTTTCTCAAATCTGGAAGACTATGCCATGAAAGCCAAAACAAAAAAAAAAGAATAAAACTGAGCTAATTATATTGCCAAATGTTAATATTTTCCATTTTCTGGCCTCCTGCCAATAAATGGCATCAAGCCAACACATTCTCTTCTCCTGACTCTACAGACCTCTGCCTAAAGACTAAGTCTTCACAATCCAGCCACAGTCTTTTGATTTCATTTAACAGCATTTCTCACCTTTAAAATGGATACAGGGATATTTCTGTCCTCAAGCACATCTTTACGGTAATGTTCGTAAGAAGGCATTTCATATAGCAAACCTGAAGAATTGAGTCCTCATTTTAGACAAGATTTTAGAGTGACTGGACATGAAGTAAACAGAGGTTGTACTCACAATATGTGGGCAAATACAGTCAAGGCAAGTGTTGGGAGACTTAAAGACACATATTCTCTTGAGGTCCATCAGCTGAGGCTGTAGTAGTTGTGGGAAAGTCTGATGTGCATTTCACAAGTGAATCTATTGCCAAAAATGAGTCTCACAGAAGGAAGGGGTTAAAAATATAGAAGTTGGATGCTGACCATCTGCAGGATAAATAGATACGGAATTTTGGGGGAGGGTATGAAGTGAAACAAATCAGCAACTGACTCATTTCAGCTACAATTTTAGCATCATTAATTTCTCAATATTACACCAAGTACACCTTCTGCTCGACTTGTATAGTGCAGTTAACTTCACCTTTCTAACAAATATAGATCAACATATGTGTGTGTATCTGTGTGCATGTGTGCCTGTGTTGAAAAAAAAAAGAGAAAAACTTCACCATATTTCTCTCCCCAGGTACAAAATAAGAAAACAAACAACACAGAGGTTAGTCACACTGCTTAATACAATACTGGAAGAAATCGGTGTGTGGTGCATTAGAACCTGCATAGAAGAGAGATCCAGTATAAAAAGAACGAACGCTGTAAGAAATAGCAGTTATATGACAGTAATTCAGAGAATATTTTAATCTTAAGACCTGACTCTTTGCCTAGGGACTGACATTACACATTAACTGGTTTAAGTGATCAGAAACTGGTTTAAACCAGTAACAGACCAGACATTCAGTGCACATAAATCCATTTCAAAATGCCCAAAACCGGTTTGAGTTAAATCTGGCTGAATGTAGTATCAGATGTAACTGACTTGCCTCAAACTGGTTTATGCAAAGTCTGTCCCAGAGCCGTTGCTGGTTTAAGATAAACCAGACACCCCCAGCATCCCAGCATGCTCTCTGGGCTGGGATCCAGGGACAGCTGGAGCATGAAGCTCAGCTAGGCATGATGTGGGTATGGGTGTGAGGGTGGGGGGTGTACGGACCCCCACACACATCCCCATAGCATGCAGCCCCCACTGCCTGGCAGCAGCAGCAGGCAGGGAGGTCAGGGTGCTTGTGCCCGGCACAGGCATGACTCCAGCCAGCATTGTGCAAGGGGAGGGAGTGGAGCCTGCTTCATTGCCGGGGCTCTGCTCCCCACACCTGTAGCTCCAGCACTCATAGTGGGGCAAACCCCACACTGGAGCCTGCTGCCTCCCTTGCTCCCTGCTGTGCAGATCCCCACACTTCGTCCAGAGTGGAGGGAGCCCTGTCCCCTGCTTCTGTGTGGAGTCCAGTACGGGGCTTTCCCACTGTGAGTGCTGAGCTGCAAATGTCCGGCGCTGGGCCACTGTGATAGATGTAGCCAGTGCTGCACTGGGGGAGTCTGACTTAATGGTGGGGGGGGGGAGGAGGAGATAAAAGAGTCCCACCCAGCACTGAACAGGGCCCCCCTCCTGGCCCCACAGAGGTGGGGGAAAGGGAGAAGGCGGAAGAGTTCCCCTCTGGCGCCAGGCAGCCCTGTGTGCTGGGAATGTTCCCGGCTGTCAGGGAGCTGCTGGGGCGGGCCTGGCGGGACCTGGACATGCCCCTGCCCTCCTCAGCTCAGCTCCCCTGTGGAAGCAAGGGCTGCTCTAGCGCCCCTGGGCTTCTGGCCTGAGCCACTGCCTGCATGTGCCTGCATTTCCTGAATGGAAAGGGAATGTCTATCCCATTAGAAAGTGATTCATTCTCTGCAGGTTAGATTAACCTGCAAAGATTGAATCAATTCAGGCTCAGGCTTTTTGAATGTCTGTTCCTAGCCACGTTATCAGAAATGACAGACATTCAGTGCACAGAAACCAGTTTCAAAATGGCTGAAACCAGTTTGAGATAAACCTGGTTGAATGTAGTATCACACTTTACTGATTGATCTCAAACTGGCTTATGCAATGTTTCTCCAAAATCCCTTCCTGGTTTAACTTAAACCAGACTCCACCAGAATCCTGCCATGCTCTCTGGGCCAGGCTCTCTGCTCCAGCCCAGCAGGGCTGGCCCCGCCCCTCTGCTCCCCATCCAGAGCAGGGACAGGCAGGGGTGGGGGTCTGGCCAGGTGCTGGCTGGGAGGGGAGCAAACAAGAAGTTTAGCCCTCCTCCTCCCTCCCCTGTTCCACCAGCATGGACTTGGACTTCTCCATGCTGGCTGCTCCAGCAGAGGGGGTATGCCCAGTCCGGGCAGCAGCCTTGGCTGAAGTGGCTAGGGAGGGGGTTTAATTTCTTCCTTCCTGTCCCACCAGCAGGGACCAGAAGCAGGTCCCTTGGCAGTCCTCCTTTGCTCTGCAGCAGTGGGGCTGGGCGGGGCCAGATGCCATCTGGTAGGGCCCCTGAGGCAGAAAGGGCAAGGGCGTGTATTCCCCCCTCTACCCCCAGGAGACCGCAGCCAGGTATGCTTGCTCTGACCTCCACTGCTTGCTCACTGCCTGGGGCAAGTGGTGTGGAATAAGTTCCCTGCTGCCCCCTCCACTAGCTGCAAGAGGGAGGGGGGATAACTCCCTCTCTGTACTCTACCTAATGGGCCCTGCTGGCTGGCCTCTGGCCACACCTCCAACCAGCCACTTCAGTGGTGAGAGGGCAGGGCTCTTGATGGCAGCAGCAGACCCTGTCATGGCGTTGGGGAGCTCAAGCTCCTTCCTGGTTGGGGGGGGACCACACTGTGGGGTGGGCAGAGCTGTGGCAGACTGTGCATGGCAGCACTGGGGCTCAAAATGGGCCAGAGCTCCCCCCAGCATCACTGTCGCCATAGTCCACAGCAGCTTTCCCCACCCTGCAGTGCAGCCACCCTGCCAGGAAGGGGCTTGTGCTCTGGGGATCTGTGACAGGGGTTGCTGTCCCCGTCACAGTTGCTTTGCCTTCACCATTCCAGCGGCTGGGTGGGGGTGAGGCCAGAGCCAGCTGGCAGGGCCCCTTAGGCAGAGGGCAGGGAGGGGACTTATTAGACCACTTGCCCTAGGCGCAGAGCAGGTGGTGGTGGCAGTGGGCAGGGTGGGCAGTCCCAGCTGCAGTCTCCTGGGGGCAGTGGGGGTAGAGGAGGGAATAAGCCCCCTCCCTGCACCCTCTGCCTCAGGGGTCCTGCCAATCGGCATCTGGCTGTGCCCAGTCCCGCCGCTGCAGCAGTAAGGGGAACTACCCGGAAGTCCCTGCTGGTGGGGCAGAGAGTGGGGAATTAAAACCCTCTCTGGCCTGTTCAGCCAAGGCTACTGCCCAAGCTGGCCAAGGCCCAACCCCCCCCCCCCCCCCCCC